CCTTTAAAACTCTTGGGGAAATATTATCTGGCCCAGAAGCCTTATCGTTCTTTTAACTTCCCAATTTTTTCTTAACCAGCTCAGAATTAATGCAGTTATCTGGTTTGATCTCGTTCCCATCTATCAACTGTTCAAGATGTGGAATACTGTTTAAATCTTCGTTAGTAAAAACTGAGAAAAAGCTAAATCTAATAACCCAGCCATCTCATACTCATCAGATACAAGTCTTTCTTTATCATCTCTCAAGGGTCCTGCCCCATCCTAACATTTGTTTACCCTTCGTGTATTTAAATAAATCCTTACTGTTAATTTTTATATTTTCAGTCAACCTTTTCTCATACATCCTTTTGACGTTGTAATTTTCTGTTTAACCAATTTTCCTGATCTTCTATGATATTCTCAATCTCCTATCATAAAATGTAACAATCAGAGTTCTCAAATAATCTAATGTTCATGTCGATTGTCAGTGATATTTTAAACTTTTCTTCTATTTCATACGGAAGATCATACACACGTTTTGGAAACGATGATTGAGTCCGACTGGTATTCAAGAGTTTATTACATTCTGATCATGTTCTATCGGCCTTCCCTCAGTAGTAAATATGTCCCTGCAGGTTATTTCTATGAGATAATACTCTTTCCGTTCCCCCGATGGGTCGGTGGTAAATGTACGGACTTAGAACGCTAAAATCTGGGGCTCGATTTCCCGCGCTGGACAGAGAGCAGGTAGCTCATTGAGTAGCTACAAAATAATAACAGAACACATTCATGCCAGGGTTGTAACCATTCGAATTGTCCAGTTTCTAATGAATCCTCTAATATTTTACATCCACTATTTTCTAGGACAAGTTTAGGTATCCCATTAAAACTGGAGCATGGAGTGTAACAGGTAAGTAATCGAAAGCCACACCTCTGATGTTGATTTCAAGGTACGACTGGATGTTTGTAAACCCTTAACTCATTGGAGCTTCAAGCTTTTTCTATTGTATTAAGAACGGTATTAAGAGATATTCCCAGCCCCATTCAATCGATTTCTAGCTCGGAGAGTTATCTCTCATAACCATAGCCTCTATTTCACATGTTAGAACGTTGGCTATTCTTACTTTTTTTTGGAACCTGTTGCTCATAGAAAACAATGAAGCCAGTCTACCAATTCCGACAGCGGAATTTTCTCATATAAATGAGATAGTTATTATATCTCCCACGTACTCGTAGCTTTAAAACCATCCCAAGACTCGTACATTAACAATAGATAATTTACATACACAAACATAATGTCCCTCTGTTAGAAATAAAGTTTAATAGATGTACCTTTAAAGTAACCTCATTACCAGAAGCACCTTATTTCAGAACACCACATTAGTTAGCTTATAAATACTAGCCTTAACAACACATGCTAGATGTGTAGAGTTAATTGTTAATAACTTGTATTGTTAGATGTGTAGAGCTAATAGTTAATAAATTATGTTAAATGTTTAGAGTTAATAGTTAACAACTTGTATTGTTAGATGGGTAGAGTTAGTAGTCAATAACTTATGTTAGATGCTTACAGTTAATAGTTAATAACTTATGTTAGATGTGTATGGTTAATAGTTAATAACTTATGTTAGATGTGTATGGTTAATAGTTAATAACTTATGTTAGATGTGTATAGTTAATAGTTAATAACTTATGTTAGATGCATACAGTTAATAGTTAATAACTTATGTTAGATGTGTGTGGTTAATAGTTAATAACTTATGTTAGATGTGTATAGTTAATAGTTAATAACTTATGTTAGATGTGTATAGTTAATAACTTATGTTAGATGGGTAGAGTTAATAGTTAATAACTTATGTTAGATTTGTAGAGTTAACAACTTGTATTGTTAAATATGTAGCGTTAATATTTAAAACTTGTATTGTTAGATGTGTAGAGTTAAAAGTTATTAACTTATGTTGGATGTGTAGAGCGAATAGTTAATAACTTGTATTGTTAGATGGGTAGAGCTAGTAGTTAATAACTTATGTTGGATGTGTAGAGTTGATAGGTAATAACTTGTATTGTTAGATGGATAGAGTTAATAGTTAATAACTTATGTTAGATGTGTAGAGCTTATAGTTAATTACTTATGTTAGATGTGTAGAGTTAATAACTCATGTTAGATGTCTAGAGCTAATAGTTAATAACGTTTGTTAGATGTTTAGAGTTAAAAACTTATATTAGATGTGTAGAGTTAATAGTTAATGACTTATGTTAGATGTCTAGAGGTAAGAGTTATTAACTATTGTTAGATGTGTAGAGTTAATAGTTAATAACTATTGTTAGATGTCTAGAACTAATAGTTAATAACTTATGTTAGATGTATAGAGTTAATAGTTAATAACTATTGTTAGATGTCTAGAACTAATAGTTAATAACTTATGTTAGATGTATAGAGTTAATAATTAAAAACTGTATTGTCAGATATGTAGATTTAATAATTAAAAACTTCTATTGTTAGATGTGTAGAGTTAATAATAATATCTTGTATCATTAGATGTGTGGAGTTAATAATTAATAACTTGTATCATTAGATGTGTGGAGATTTTAGTTAGTAACTTGAGTTGATAGATGTACAAATTTAATAGTTAATAATTTGTGTTGTTTTCACTGCGAGTAACGTCTTCGAACCCTTGAAAATACAACGATCAAGAAGAATAGTTGATTTGTAAACAGAGAATAGTTTCTTGTACAAAATTTAAATTGAATCATGCAGATGGCAAATATAATTGTGGGATATATATACAAAATTGATGGCACCCTGACTGCTGTAATGTACTGAACAATTACGATCTATCATACCGTTCCCTCATGAACACGATCTTAATCATGCAGAAAATGTGGTGAAATGATACCTATTTTAAGAACAGGACAATGGAACAGTCTCAAAAATGCCTGTTACTGCCCAAAGTCCCGAAATGACTATCTTTACTGCTCTGTCAGTAATTGAGATGGTAAAATGATAACCATACAACTTGGCTGAACCCTGGAGGAACAATAAAGCACATTTGAAAATATTTCACAAAAATTTAAGTTAACTGATTTGTTTAAAGCAATGCAAATACTCGTGCACTGTCAGGTTTTTATAGGTATGGTTGGCAGGACTTTACAGTAGGTGTCTGTAACTTGTTGGAGATAAATGTCAATAATAAACAGTCAGCACACAGTCCACTTGTTTTAAAGTAATGTTTTCAAAATAAGTCAAACATATTTACAAAAATTTCGTTACACTATTGTTTATCACAGTTGTATCCTGTACTTTAAATATGTGTCTTCTTTTCGTCAATGTCCGCAAAGTCGGGTTCAATTACTTTAGAACACCCTTCAACAAGACAAATTATTCTTCTCTATCATTGTTATTACAATACAAGCTGTGATACTTCCACTTTAACAATCGCCACTATACTCTCTTTATGGCTAAGATCACAATCACGTAGTATAACTTCTCTTTTTCCCTTTCCCTTTCTATAACTTGCACACTTCCAATAACTTCGTCGCTTATATATATATATATATATACACAAACATGTTGTCCATCTGAGGCCTAGAACTTTCTACGAACTACAAGATGTTATGATGTAACAATACTCACTTGAACAAAAACAAGAAGAATTTAAAATGTTCGAGTAGCATGACGTCAATCCACAATAATTGAGCTGCGCATCAAATGATTCGTAAGCAGTATGTAAGCAAGCCTGCAATAAATTATCACTTCTAAAAATACTAAATGTAACAATTGTGCTTTATAACTATATAAATATTAAATCTCGTATTAAATTTAAATGAAACAGTCGAGTATATCTAACAACAAGCCCCTCTTCAAACATATTTACAATATTTATTTAAATTGTATGCAGATACCTTTCTCATTCCATGCAGAATGTTTACTCATACAGTCGCATCAACATTTGCAGTTCCCTTGTTGGTCTCTCTTCACATAGGGCATCTGGTAGGCATCACCTTGTCTGGATCCCAGGTCGTACTCTGTATCTTGTATTTCACAAGGCCTGTCTTGCCTGGTTTATCTGTAAAGACATTTGCATACTGACGAAATAGATATTGTAGTTCTTTCTTCTGCTTGCCAGTCAGTTCTTCATTGATGTTGACATCTAATCTCCACCCTGTCTAGCAGGTCTTCATCTTCTATGGCAAAGTCACTGCCTTCTGCATCTGCATCTATGACAATCACACCTTCCTGGTCTTTTGTTCCTCAATAACTGCACTTGCTAGGTCTTCTTCTCCTCTCAAATTATATCTTAAACAATTTGGCATAGTAAATCTTGATCTTTCCATCCACTTTCACTTTATAGCCCGTTCTGTTGATCACTTCCTGAACTTCTAAAGGTCCTTTCCACTGCAGGGTGAGTTTGTTGTTGTCTGTGGGTAGCAGAACCAAGATTTTCTGTCTCACCTTGAAACGTCGATCCTTGGCCTTCTTTTCATAGTCTAGTCTTTCACTGCTAAATTAGGGACGACTAGCGTAGATAGCCCTTGTGCAGCTTTGCGCGATATTTAACACAAACTAAAGAAACTGCTGTATAATTTTTGTTTTCGTCGGTATGTGTGGGCAGGAGTCTTTACAGTAGGTGTCTATAACTTTTTGTCGATAAATTTCAACAAAAAACAGACAGGGCATAATCCTCTTGCTTTAAAATAATATATTAAAAAAAGTCAAACGTATGTACAAAAATATCGCTACATTATTGGTTCTCACAGTCGTATCCAGATCTTTAAATAACTGTATCTTTTTTGTCAAAGTCTACACAGGCGGATTCAATTACTTTAGAACACCCTATGACAAGACAAGCCCCCAACCCCTCACCTGTGGCACAACAGTATGTCTACAGAATTACAATGTTAAAAACTGGGTTGCGATACCAGTTGTGGGCAGAGCACAAATAGCCTATTGTGTAGATTTGTGCTTAATACAAGCAAAAAAGACAAACAAGACAAAACAAATTATCCTCATCTACTCTGTTATTAAAATACAAAGCTGTGATACTCACTTTAAAATTACTACTATAATTGTTGGTTACAACAATTGTATCCAGAACTTTAAATAATTGTCTTTTTTCGTCAAAGGCCACGCAGGTGGGTTTAATTACCTTAGAACACCTTTCGACAAAGCAAATTCTCCTTCTCTATCACTGTTATTACAATACAAGCTGTGATACATTCACTTTAGAAATCGCCACTATATGCTATTTACATGCTATTACAGCGTAAGTCACGTGACGCTAGTAATACATCTTGAGATTCTAGAACGATTGGGGAACATCACGAATAATCCAGGATTTGCTAGGCGCCCTCTATTCTTGTATATAAGTGCTCCAGATAAAGCGAGACAATCAATCAGAATAGAATAGCAGACAGACAGAGACGGACAATTGAGTCAAGCGTGGTAGTAAGTAAGTGCGTGAAACGTTCGTTGTGAATTATAGCGTGTGTATAAGTCAAAGTGACTGTGGAAATTAAGTGTATTTCAAAGTTGAATTGAGAAAGAATAAACTAGTTTTATTTAAGAAAGGACTTGTATCGCAGAAGTGTTTTCGGAAAGAATTTCTACGGAAAATTAACAAACGAACAGAGACGTAACAACAGCTAAACTCACAATCACGTAGTCTAACTTCATTTTTTTCACTTTCACTAACTTACTTACTTGCAATAACTTGGTCGCCTATATATATTGCTCCTCTGAGGCCTAGAACTTTCTATAAACTATGAGATGTTATGATGTAACAATACTTACTTAAAGTAACGACTGTAATTGACTTCCATCTAACCAATCAGACGTTATCACGCCTTTGTAATGCCTATATATCTAACCAATCAGACAGTGTCACGTAAGCGTAATGCCTATACAAATACAGTTTTGAGGTTTGACAGAGACAGCTCTACCAACCGAATATCAAACACGTTTCTCATCAAAATTTCTAATACATTATTCACAACTTCTTAGTGATCAACAGAATATACTTTTAGAAGTTTTATGCTGGTTTAGGTTTCCTATTCTACAGTTTCCCAGTTATTCTAATGTGGTATCTAGTCACAGTATGTTCTATGGCTTCCCGGTTATTCTAATGTGGTATCTAGTCACAGTCTGTTCTACAGTTCCCGTTATTCTAATGTGGTATCTAGTCACAGTCTGTTCTACGGTTTCCCGGTTATTCTAATGTGTTATCTAGTCACAGTCTGTTCTATGGTTTCCCGGTTATTCTAAAGTGTTATCTAGTCACAGTCTGTTCTATAGCTTCCCGGTTATTCTAATGTGTTATTTAGTTACAGTCTGTTCTATGGCTTCCCGGTTATTTTAATGTGTTATCTATTCATAGAATGTTCTATGGTTTCTAGGTTATTTTAATGTGTTATCTAGTCACAATCTGTTCTACGGTTTCTCGGTTATTCTAATGTGGTATCTAGTCACAGTTTGTTCTATGGCTTCCCAGTTATTCTAATGTGGTATCTAGTCATACTCTGTTCTACGGTTTCGTGGTTGTTCTAATGTGGTATCTAGTCACAGTTTGTTCTATGGCTTCCCGGTTATTCTATTGTGATATCTAGTCACAGTCTGTTCTATGGTTCCCGGTTATTCTAATGTGTTATCTAGTCACAGTCTGTTCTATGGTTTCCCGGTTATTCTAATGTGTTATCTAGTCACAGTCTGTTCTGCGGTTTCTCGGTTATTCTAATGTGTTATTTAGTTACAGTCTGTTCTATGGCTTCCCGGTTATGTTAATGTGTTATCTATTCATAGTATGTTTTATGGTTTCTAGGTTATTTTAATGTGTTATCTAGTTACAGCCTGTTCCATGGTTTCCCGGTTATCCTAATGTGTTACCTAGTTACACCGTGTCCCATGGTTTCTAGATTATTCTCATGTGTTACCTAGTTACAGCCTGTTCCAGGGTTTCTAGGTTATTTTCATGTGTTACCTAGTTACAGCCTGTTACATGGTTTTCTGGTTATTTTCATGTGTTACCTAGTTACAGCCTGTTCCACGGTTTTCCGGTTATTATACAGTATTCTTTTCCAATAATGCTTGGAGACGATTTGAATGGGTAATGAAGAAAAACGTTTTGTCACAAGACTTAGAAGATATATCTTGGCATTCCACGGTGTTAGTTTAGAGTAGGGTTGTTTTGTTCAATTAAGATGGATTCCTTGATTTTTCGTTTGTTTATGTTTGATTCTTTGTTTAAAATCACTGTGTTTTTAATAGCTTTACTATGTTTTTTTTAGTTGCTGTCTATGTCTACATATTTTTAGAAATAATCAGTCTTTATCCAACTACTTCAACAACTACATATTTTATCCAATCATTAATAGTTAGTATTTACTTATTTTTATTACAATTTACAAATAGGCCAGTCAGCTAAACATTATATATCACTATACTTTGACAAAATTAGTATTTATATCGAACTGTTGGAACTATGTGGTTTGTTACTACTTCAATTTATGTTCTACTAGAGTTTCGTCTGTCCTTCACTGGAAGAGAATGTACGAAAAATTTAGGAAAAACCATTTTATTGTTGTTAATAACTTCTGAGAAATAAGTGTATCATAGTAACAGGCAGACTTGTTTTAACAACAAATCTCAACCTCGCTGCTGACGTATTGTCCGAGAATGTATTAAAGGGAAAAACTATTATGATTGAGAAAAACATTATCTGGTTTACCTCAACCTATCATATAAAACATTAGTTAATTGATTCCTTTAAGTCTATTAAGCAAGACAATTTTGAGTCTGCTACAAGATTGTTTGTACTTAAACACAAAGCTACACAATGTGCTATCTGTGCTGTGCCTACTACCGATATCGAAACCCGGTTTTTAGCATTATAAGTCCGTAATCTTACTGCTGTGCCACTAGGTACCTGGTAGAAGATATTTGAGTTATAAACCAAGATATTTATTTAAACTGAACAAGAAACGTGAGAAATGATAAATTTCA